ACTATGAGGGTACACATACCAGTCCTAACTGCACTTCAATGTTGCTATGAGGAGCTATTCTATGTTGAACACAGACGTGTTAGTAATCCTAATGTTTAGATATGTAGGATTTTATTCCTAGTAAGTATGTTTCTTAGTCAAACATGACAAATATATATGTGTGTGTGTATTAATATATATGTGTAAATTAAAAAAATAAATTAATAAATTATGTAATTTATATATATTCACACACACACACACACACACACACACACACACACATATATATATATATATATATATATATATATATATATACACATATGTATATATCTTATAAATACTCCCCCAAATAATCAAGCTAAGTAAATTTGCTGTCTGTCTACCCATTCTTCTAGAACACTGGTAATGGTAAGATAAGAAATTGGTGTATTTTATTGCTTATTTGAACACACTATGCTTTGCTCTGGGAAACACTGATCAGAAACTCTTTTCCAAGACTAGTTGAATAAATTCGTCTGTCATTAAAGAAAAAAAAGAAGAAAAGAAATTCAAAATCCTTATTTTGGTTCGACTCTGCAACTCAGATGAGCAGTTTTTAAGCCAATACAACATCTGGTCCAGATGAGCAATTTAAGCCAATCCAACATCTGGCAAAGAATCCTGTATTGTTCATCAAAGAATGGTGCTAAACCTAGCCACAAAGTTTGCTCTTGGCCAAAACCTGCTAATGTGGTGGGAACACAAAGGATGGAGATTTCCAGGCACCTAGGAGTTGCTTAGGGAATGTACAAATCAGACTCTCTTGCTCCTGGAGAACAGAGCCAGATGTAACTTTTATATAAGGACAGTTGCCTCTATAAGGAGAGGTTACTATATCTCTCAGCTGAAATATCCACCCCCTATGGAGGAAATGCCATTCATTCATTTACTAAATATGTAGGTATTTAGGACCCTCTATGTGCAAACCACTGCACAGTTGTGGTTTATGAGGATAAAATGGTCATGTGTTAAAGGGGTTAGGAATTAGATGAAACAACATTGCACATAAACATGCAAACACAAGACAAAGTAAGAACAAAGAAGAAAGTGTGCTTCAGCCAGCTTCGAGAGTCAAGAAAGACTTCCCAGAGAAACAGGTAGCATCTTCAAGATCTGATGGATAATCAGGAGTTTGGTCAATAAAGAATAACAACTAAGAGAGGGGAAAACAGGTTGTTATTGCCTCTCAGGATAGGTGGGGTGCTAAAACCAAGAAAAGACCTGGAACAAAGTTAATGCTATTTTTATAAGCTAGAAAAATACCACCAGCAGGAGCCCTGGCCAGAACCACCCCCACAAAGTGCAAACAAAGCTACTCCTATCTTCTGGCTGTCTGCTGAAGAACTTGCTAACCAGCACCTTAAGAACAAAATGTTCTTCTATCTTTGATTTCTATTCCAGCAAAGTCCTTCCTCCTTGTTTCCAGAGCTGGAAAAAGCATGAGTGAAGTTGTGCTTGCTCCTATGATCTGTATCCTCCCATCCCAGGTTCTCCTTGGGCATAGAGTCCAAGGTAGGTCATACTAGGCTAGCACTGGAAGTGACCACAGTTGTCAGAGCTTGTTTGCGACAGGCATGGCTGGCCTCCAATTCCTACTTCAAAGCTGGGTTCGTTCCTGACTGGGGATCTCTTGACACAGAGTGCATCCAAGCAGTTCCTGGGGCTGTTTCTGATCTTGACCAAGACAGAATCTTAAAGCAGTGAATCCTGCTTTCTGTGATAGATGGGTAGAGGAAGAAACTGAGGGCAAATTCAGGGAAGGCAGAGGGAGTCCAGCACCTCTGGTCCTTCTCTATATGTCTTGCCTTAAGAATCCAGTTCTGGTAAGACACTTCCTAACAGGAAACAACTTCCTAACAGGCAACATTGTTTATGAAGCTTCTACTTTGTGTCAGGCATTGTGGTTCTGGAGTGAGGAAATCAAACCTCATTATTGCATGCTTACTATGTGCCAGTTAGTAGGCCAATTGCTTTAACTATTTACATTACCATTTCTTATACCAATCCTATGAAAAGATTGCTAGCTCTTAATACAGAAGAAGAAAGGCACACTGTGTGTAGGCAGAATAGGAATTTAATCCAGATCTTCAGACTGTGTATGGAATGCCCTTATCACAGTGTTACAATAAGTCTCAGAAGATTCACTATCATAAGAGAACACTATTAAGCAGGCCAGAGAATTTTCTCTCTAAAAGGAATAGGAGGAGTTCTATGGTTTGTTCATGATGATAATCTCTGGTTTCCAAAAATATAGCTGATAGGGTTGCATGCACTTGATCTTTAGTAAATCTTTGGTTTGACTAGTGGGTGATCTTTTTAGGACGTTTAGGCCTCTCTTATTCTTCACATCTTGAGAGGGTGGAGGCAAGGTGGAAAATGAGAGGGAACATTTGTTCTATGGCTCCTGTCTTTCCCAGATATTCTGATCCTGAACTGGCCATAAGGTGAAGGGGAGAGAAGTGGTATAAGAAGGATCAAACTTGTTCAAAATTGTTAAGTAGGGATTTCAAATCCTGTGTGACCAAGATCTCCCTTCCCAGCTATTGCTGGCACAAAGCTCAAGTCCTTAAAGAATCTAATGTCTTATCCTATCTTTCCACTTAAAAAACTAACTTTTGGAAAACATAGAGGAAACTCACTGACTTAAGAGCATTTGTATTTTAAAGGGAACAAAAGGTCTAAGCCAAAGTGTCTACAGGTAAAAATTCTGTCATTGAGCATCTCTGTTAGGAGAAAGCCATGGTCACCTGGAAGTCTGTCCTACTGAAGAGCACAGAAAGTCCTAAGGAGAAGTGAGAAGGTGTGTTTGGCACGTCCCTTACAGAGGTCTGGGACGCCAACAAGGAAACGACAGTGCCTGTTGCTCCTGAGTGCAGCCTTATTTCTTTCAGCACATGGATGAGCAGCCAAGTGCTTGTCACCTGGATGCGGGTGGATGGTTGAGACTGTCGCCCCAGGGACAATTGCAAAATCACAATGAAGAAAGCTTCCCTGGAGTCTTCTGTGATGTAGAACATCAGGATTACTAGGGATAGGAGCACTCCATGTCCAGCTGGACCTTCAGTTCTCTCTGTGATTGTGCTTAAAAACCCAAATCATGCATTCCGACCAAAAGCACACACTGCTCACACTACAAAGTGCTTTGAGACAAACGCCCTTGCCTATAATAGGGCTCCATTATGTACCTCTCGACCAGTCACACACACTCTGCTTGTTTACTATTTCTTAGGCACTGTGCCAGAGCCTGAGGACAGAAAGATGAACAGGACAGACACGTTCATAGATTGATGAGTGCCATACTGTTTCTGCAAGTCTGTGGACCATGCAGAAGAACAATCTGTCACAGAAGGAAACATATCAGCCTTTATTGTAAGTTTAAGGCCATTTTACCTTATTCTTGCCTTAATGAGACTTTATTTAGTAAACTTATCAAGCACCTTTAAAAACAAGACATAAGGCTCAGCATTGAGGAGTCCTCAAGGAATTCACAGTCTAGTGGAAAAGATAAGCAGATAAATCAGAAACTAAAACACAAGGTGATCATTTCTTCAAATAAATAGAAGTAATGAAAGAAGCACAATCCGGAGAATTTCTTAATATATCTGACTACTCCATGGAAGGATATGCAGAGAAGAAACCATCTGAGAAAGGATTTCAAATTAGAGGAGTGAGAATAGTATAGCTTAGTGGTAGAGTGCTTACCTATGCATGATCTCCAGGATCACCAAAAGGAGAAAGAGAGAGACTGAGGTGGGGGGAGGTGTCATCTACCTGGAAAAGTAGAGAGCTACTGTGGTGTGTGTGTTCCCTAAAAGTCATCCCCAATGGGACAATGTTGCCCAGGCTAATTCTAATCTCCTGGGCTCAAGTGATCCCCTTATTACCTCAGCCTCTCAAGTAACTGGTATGCCACCAAAACTGGTCAGGTTTTTGATCATGATTCATAATAAGAAATTCATTTCCTTCACTGCCTAGAATACACACACACACACACAGGAAACAGGTCCACAAAACAGTGCTTATCCTTACTATATGAGATGTACTCTTATGTGTTCTACTCTGTTCTATTCTATTAGATCCCATTCTATTCTGAAATTCCAACAGTCATGTCCTCTTTAACTCATGCCATGAACTATGAACCACAGTTCATAAAAGATGCTATTAGAATGAAAGTCTAGGAAATATAGAAATAACTACAGGGAAGGGTAAAGGGAGAGACACTGAGAGAGAGAGTCAAATTACCCAAAAAGAAAAGAAAATTGTAAAAGGAATGTGGATAAGAACAAAGACACCACTTTTTTCAATAAATCTTTTTGACTTCATGTGTACTTTCCACTAAAATTTGACATTTGTTTGTTTTATTTACTTATTTTGGTGTTGGGGATCAAACGCGGGGTCTTACATTCATAGCCCTGGCTTGGTTTTATTTTAAATTCAGTTTCCTAGCATCATGCCATGACATGGGAAATGCTCAATGTGTATTTGAGAATGAATTAATGAATGCACAAATCACAGATTTTAGAGTTATATATGAGATGAAATCAAGACTAGTACCAAGTAAACGGATATATGATAAAAACCAAATATTATAAGAACAAACCTGTTAGACTTACAAGGTTTTGCAATACTATTAGAAAACAGAGTACAGTAAGTGCATGGTTATCAAACCTACTAGACAAAAGTGAACATGTGCTTTTCAAATTTCCAATAAACTGAAGAGCCATCCAGACACTTATTCAGATCAAATTTTTATATTCCTATGTTGGAAAAGTTAAGAATATATAAATAGGTTTTATATTGGATGAAAAGGTAGGTCTATAATTCTATCCAAATGCCTATCTGTGAAAAGGCTTTTCATTATTACACCTTGACTCACTAGTCCTTGACCTTTGCTTTAAATACACAAAATGGGTGTCTTAGCTCTGCTGAATGTTCCACTTGAACACAGCTGTTTGTGGCATGGAATAAAAGATTACCTAGTCCTCCGGCATGGGCATCAATGAGCGAGGCTGCCACTGGGACCCCGGGGCGAAGGCCAAGCTCCTTTGCAGCCTCTGGTGTGAGCCCACTTCCAAGAGAAGTTCCGGGAGGTAGCACCTGGTTTCCTGAGCAGACATGAGAAAAAACAAACACTCATTAGTTTGGAAAACACAAAGGCAAACAGAGGTTTTCTTAAGAGAACTTCTTTGTTCCTTCCTTCTTCCCCTGCATTTTCTCAGCTTCACAAAGATAAAAATCATGCAGCCATGAAGAGTCCCTTTGCTCGTTTGGTGACCCAGGTGAATGCCTTGGTATGTTTGGGTCATGCTTTGGGATGGTTTGCAAACTAGGAGCTCCAAGGTGTCACTCATACCAGAGAAAGATTCTAAGAATAGGAAATTATATAAAAAAAATAAAAATACAGTGGCCTTTTAGAGACTAGGTGAACATATATTCCTAAACAATTTGAGAACACTTATTTGTATAGTTCTTTCTACTAATGGATAAGGGAGGGAAGTATTTTGCCCCAATGAAGAATTTCTTGAAAGTTTTTCGAAGCTGAAAAGAGAGCCTAATCTAAACTTGTAAACTTTAGAAGGCTGCTACTTGCACAACCACAGAGTACAATTTTATTAATGTTCTTTGGACTTGTGAAATGCAATGACCCTGATATTTCAAGTGACCTTGAATTCTTATAGTCAGCCAGGCCTTCAGTTAATAATTTATTGATTGTCTTCCTTTGTGTGAGTATTGTGGGGCTGTAAAAGGCAGTACATGCTCCCAACCTAGTTAGGAAGATGAGATAAGGACACAGAGAACCATGTGAGCCAGAAGAGAATGAAATGACCCATCTGTTGCCAGGTATTTAAGAGAGGCTGAGCCCACTCCTACCCTCTAAAAAATTCTATAATAAGGTTTTCTCTACTGTAGGGATTAGACAGGCATTGACCCATAAATGTGTTAAAGCCCCTTTGAGACCCAAGATTCTGGAATTCTAAATTGTGGTCAGGAATTTTTTGGGTGCCAAGGTACCCCAGGACTTCTGAACACAGAAGTTATTGTGAAGATAAGAGCAGGGCAGAAGGTGAATGGCTTAACCATTCTCTTCTGAAGGGAGACAGAGCACCTGCACAGCACTATGTTTATCCATTTTAACTAGAGAGCTTCTAGCACAACTGAATGTGAAAAAAGTGTAGCCAAGAAGACTGAATCTTCTTCAGTGGCATCTGAGCTTCTTGGTCCAAAATAGCTGCTACTGGGCACATGTGTATTGATCACCTGAAAATGTAGCTAAGATAACTGAGGATCTAGGTTTTCAATTTTGTTTGATTTTAATTAATATTCATCTAAATTTTAAAAACTGATATTGAATTCAATTACTGAAAAACTCTATGTCTGAAACAACCTGGGTAGACATATCTACTCTTTCAATAATAACTCAAGTTATCTAATAAGTTATCTCCCACAAAAAATGCAGTATATGAACTGAGATATGCTAAGTAGAAAATATATACAAAATACCAAAGATTTTAGTCTAGAAAAATGAATGTCAAATAACGCATTGATTTTTTTTAATCAATTATATGTTGAAATGATATTTTGGATACATTAGGTTAAATAAGATATAATACTATTGATTTCACCTAATCTTTTGTTTGTTTTTGTTTTTGGTATTAGGGATTGAACCCAGGGGTGCTTTACCACTAGCTGCATCCTCAGTCCTTTTTATTTTTTATTTTGACACAAGATCTCACTAAGTTGCTTAGGGCCTTGCTAAATTGCTGAGGCTGTGCCTTGAACTTGTGATCATCCTGCTTCAGCCTGCCAAGTCACTGATATTATAGATGTTCACCACCATGCCTGGTTCACTTAATTTTTTTAAACTTTATCATGGCTGCCGGGAAATTTAGTTACATATGCAGATTATGTGAAATGTCTATTGGATGGTGGTCTAGAGGACAAGGTGAAGATGCTGGAGTAAGGAGGTGGAGGGAGGAAAACCTCTAGTCTGCATCGAATGCAGTGGGTAGCAAAAGCCTGTAAGAGGAGACTTGTGCCTCTGGACACTTTGGTCTTGGACAACATCTTAACTATGTCACTTCATCTGGTGAGTGATACATAATAGACATCATTCTAGTAACAAGCACTTCTAAATACATAATAGTCATTTTCTCATCTAATTTTAACAGCACACCTCCATGAGGGGTACAGTAGTACCTGTACTATCCCCCATTTCAGAGGGACGGGGAAATGGAAATTTAAGATGAAAAGTAAATTCACCACAGTGGCACAGCTTAAGAGCTGGAGACTGGCATGGATTCTCCTTTGACGGAAACAAAAACCTATGTTCCTATTCACTATCTTACCACTCATGGAGCAGGTATTGTTCTCAAGTGTATTTTGAAAGAATGAAAGAATCCAGAGAAGTAGTTTTAGAACAAGAATTTTAAAAATAGCACCATTTGGAAATCTTGTCCACTAAATTCATTTATTTTTTTCTTTTTGGTTAAAGGGTTAATTTTCACAGGAAGGTCAAATGGAATTTGTGTTCCACCTTTATCCCCAATCTCCACAAACAGTAAAGGGGTGATTTTCATTAAATAAGCTCCAGACAACATGAGGATTAGCAGGGTGAGGCATTCTTATCTAGAGTCATTTAGAAGATTTTTTAGTTTGTGTGAGGTGGATTTGATTGAGGATCCTCTCTGCTCACAAAAGGAGGCTGCAGGCCACAGTAAGGCACACAGTCCTGGGCAGTCGGGCAGGAAGTCTGTGGTCTAATCATGTGTTGTAGGATGTCATGTGCTGTAGGTAGATGTCTCAACAAAGGAACCACCTGGAGCAAAGACCAAGGAAGAAGTGAGGAGGCACCTGTGCAGTAACTGTCAAAAGGGGCAGGTGAACTGGTGCATACGCTGGGGGAGAAGGGTCAGAGATGAGGGTGGGAGGACAGGGTTGGCCAGAGAGCAGGCTTTGTCAACCCTACTACTATGAATCTCACCACCAAGACCAGCAGAGTCTACTGAAAGAGCATTACTGTGGGAAGAACCATGACACCGTATTTTAGAAAATTTCTGGCAACGTTTTAGGAAAGGAAGCCCGGAGTTACAGAAATAGCTCTGAAGCCATTTTGGTCATCAAAGACGGAAAAGACAGGAGACTTAAGATATGGATACCTGGGATGGAGGAATAGAGGAAGAAATGAGAGATTTCATGAAGCAAGAAGTATCAGGTCATGGTGGTGGTTTCCATATTGGGAGTATGGAAGAAAGGATGATGTCATAGCTTCAATGCCCCTTCAAGGAAAGATTTGCTGCCCAGCCAAGGTCACCTGCCAGACTCCTCAGGCCTGATTTAGCTGCAGAGATTGGCTATGCTTAGGTGAGGCCCTTTCCAGGGTAGCCACATGCCTGAGGTGACTCAGTAAAGCAGAAGCTGAATGGCTCTGGTAGCACCACCCTCTCCAGAGCACTCCACTGGGTTGACCAAGGTTCACAGAATAGCAACACTTTCAACCTCTCCCCTGCCCAATCCTATTCCCTCCTCCTCTTCCTCCTTTCACACATGCCTATCCCTAATAAACATTTTATACTTCCCAATCTGTCCAAGCCTGTTTCCTGAAAACCTAGCCTAGGAGGTGAGCCAGTCTTCTCAGACTAGTAGTCTAGAAATTAAAATAAATATGCACAAAGATGAACATCTTTAATTCAACTAGAATCACTGCCTTCAGGAATCATCTAACTGGACCTACAAAAGAGGGAGCTTTTGTTTATCTAGAGACTGAAGGAAATAGCTTGGCATAAGAGAGGATGGTAGAAATAGGTAAGAATCTGAGAAATTACCCCCTTGAAATTATACTTCATCAGCCCAAGGTGCACTGAAGGGACTAGAGCTGTCAAAGGCCACCTGACAACTTCCCCCAAATAATCCTTTAATCCTTATTTCACTTTTATTCTACCATAAAATTAAGTAAATCACAGCAAGCTTTTTTTTTTTTTTCAGGGTTAATCAAGATTTTATTGGCTCAGCACTTGCAGGTTCTTCTAGGCTTCATTCAGTCATTCATCCATCAATTTAACAAATATTTCAGTAACAATGATTATACGATGGTCCATATAAATTTCTACCTAACACATGCCAGGATCTAGGTGCTGACACAAGGAAAAAGCAACTCTGGTATCACACTGACATTTGGTACTAGGAAGATGGAAAACCAAGTGTGTTAGTATTCTTTTCATCACTGTACACAATATACCAGACAAGAAACACTTCAGTCTATAGTTGGACCATGTCATCACTCTAGGATTGAGATGAGGCAGAACAACATGGTGGAAGCATGTGGTGAATCGAGCTGCTCAGTCCATGGCAGCCAAGAAGCAAAGACAAAGAGTGAAAAAGAGAGAGAGCCAAGGGCAAAATATAAATTCTAAAGGCTCACCCCTGATGACCTACTTCCTCCAGCCATACCCTACCTGCTTAGTTGTTGAGGGCTGAAATCAAGTCAAGATGGCGCCTGGCACTTTGCCAGGAGGAGTGGTCTGTGAAGCAACGCCAGCGAGCCATTAAGATGATGAGGATTCCTTATTGGTTGACTGCAATATCTAGTTTATGTTAATTGAGTTAAGCTGTGTGTAACTAGTTAAGTATAAATACCTCTGCTGTCCTGCAATAAAGCAGCTCCCGCTGTTTCAATCTTCACAAGTTGCTTATCACCCCCTGGTTATTTTGCCCAGCCAGACTGTGGCACTTAGTGTTATCACCCAGTACTGAAGTACTTTTTTTAATCCATCAGATGGATTAATCCACTGGATTAAGTTACAGCTCTCAAAATCTAATGAGATGAGCTTTCAGGGGACACCTCATATTCAGATCATAACACCAAGACTCTTAGGACTATGTAGAAAATACTAGAAAGGTGGACTGTATGTAGTATTCCCAGAGAACTGAGGAGAGACCTGTTATGTTGGTCCAGGAGGATGAGTGATCCTCAAAGTTAGTATCACACCTGAGCCTGCAGTGGAAAGACAGGTGGGGGTTGTGGATTTCAATGTTAGAATGCTATGGGGAAGTGGATGCCTTTGGAGAAAGAGGTTGGTTCACTGTAGGGGTCTCTAGGGGGTAGAGA